GCAGACATTATACACATTCAGTTGACAAACCACCAAGCATATAACTTACAGCAGGTATATTTATTTGTGCAGAATACGAATTATTTAACATTAATGTAAGTTAAGCTTTTACATATATGCACACCTTGGTGCATATGTAGATGATTAGGAATGTAAAAAATGTATGAATGATATGTGAAAGGGATTCCCTATTTTTTTACTTTGTTTTTTCTTTTTGTATTATTGTCTATACAATTAGAATCTGTGTTTAAAAGTCCCTCTGTGGTCACACAACAATAATACAAATTATTTGTGCATACGAGTAAAACTGTCCGCCTGTGAAACAGGGCACAATACGTAACTAGGACCCCAGCAAGACAGGAACACAGTAGGCTTTAAAGTGAGATCCTTCTACATTAAACAACAGTGCAAGCCTCTAACAAAGCAGCACGTAACAGTTTTAACATGGCCTTAACATTTCCCTTTCCCTTAAGCCAGTAGCTTCTTTTTTAGGGTGTTCACTTTTGGAGACAACTTTGAGCAATCCAGCTCAAGGAAGAGTTTCTGGAACACTTCCAGTGTTTGCCGGATCTCCTTGGGATACGCCAGATTCAATGCGTATGCCAACCCAATCAGCAAGGTGCAAGCCCTTGGAAATGTCCCCAGAGCAGTCAGGACTTTGATGCCTTCCACCACAATACCGATGTCCTCGGTTGCATTGTTCTTGGCTCTGTAAATCGTCATCCTTGCTGCAGCAAAGTCCTGTGACACGTTGTCTTCCTCAGGATCCTGAAATAGAAAAACATTTTTTAGTTTAGGTTCCCACAGACTGTGGTTTTGTTTGATCCTCTTTGTCCATTATAATCCATTAATACCAATCATTGTTGTATGATAGTACATTTACTAAATATATATTTATATTAATAGCATACCATTTATATTCATTCAATTAAATTGTTGAGTTTATTTAGGTTATTAAGTTAATTAAGATGAACAGAGACTGCACGCTAATTTTTAGGGATGCTCCGATCGATCGGTCACCGATCGAGATCTGCCGATACTCACTCTCTACCGATCGATCGGTGCTCTCTAAACATGTCGATCGCGAGAGCATGACGTAAAATACATGACACTTTTCTCTGTGCGCGGCAAAACAAGCTCGCCAAAATGGCTTCACCGGTCTGGCATTATTTTAAGGTGTCCAAAAAAGACAGTAAAATAGCGGTATGCAACGTGTGTGAAGCAGAAATCCTGCAGCTCCACCCGCTGTGACGGACCGGTGAGCGGAGCAGAACACACACACTAAGACCTAACACACTTAGCTATTTGATCTACCTCTGGAACAAGCTAAACTAGTTATAAATATATTTATTCTTCACTGTCGTGTCACTCATTACTGGATCAGTGAGCTGCATGAGATACTGACGGGCTGTCAGGAGAGAGAGAGAGGGGAAGAGAGAGAGGGAGAGAGGAAAAGAGAGCGCTTCCGCTCATTTCTCCCGTGTTATTATCCAAAGTGAATGTAAACTTGAATAATGTACATCATTTGAATGTAATAATTAAGTTGATTGTTGTTTGTGGAAGCTCCAGTGAATGAGCCCGATTAACTGACTTTTAAACATCACTTTAAATGGAAGATTTAAAGTAATGTTTAAATCTTCCATTTAGGCCCCGCCCACTCGATTGGATCGGCGATCGGTATCGGCCGATACTGATTCCGGCGATCGGCCCCAAAATTGGCGATCGGAGCATCCCTACTAATTTTTCAAGTCAACACATGTGTGAAAAATAAGAGATGATATACTTGCAAAAACACACTTTTCTGCAAGGTAAGTTAAAAAGTATGTGGTAATTTTAACAATTTAATGACAACATAAATGATTGTCTGAAAAGAGAAAGAAATCCATTAATAATTGTATGTCCATGAAACTTGACTATTGATCAATATCTATACATTTTCTCAAACACGATGGGCACCTTTTAAAGTCATCCACAGAAACTGGATCAATGATCAAACTGGATCTTTCACTTATTTTTAAATTGTCTTTCAGCTGCTCTGTGAAAAGCTCAAGGAACCTGTAGTACCAATTTACCAGTCTTTAAAAAAAACAATACACATGTGCAAGACAAGAACTTTACAAATTTACAAAGGACAATGGCCAATGGCCAAAAGTTACTGGGAGAAATAGAGTTATGATTGTCTTTTGAGATTTTAGCTTGCCAAGAAAAGAGAGATGCCACAATTTCCACACTGTGGATTCTTCAATCTGCTGTTGGTCTGCTGTTGACCACCTTCTCCTGGGAGATATCCATTCTGGCACTCTGTCGTGGCACTCTGAACACTGGCTGAAGGGTTCCCTCGAGCAAGCTTCTGGCCTCCAGAGTCCAGAAGGCAAACCTTTGGCCATGCCTTTAAAACAATAAGAACAAGATGTAATCTAAAGTATTGCATAGGGAAAGGCTAAGGCATTGGTGCACAATTGATATGCATTAATAATCTCAACAGATATTGCCATCCAGAGTCTTACAGCTCTTGTTACTGATGGTCTACTGATCTGTAGATGGTTAACCTAATATAACTAACAGATGTTCTATTGACATGCTACTGAGTTTGTTGACAGATTGTAGATAATCTACAAGTGACCCTCAAAATAAAGTGTTACTGAAATTAAAACACACATATTGTTAAGGGCTTTCATACCCTTGTATTTCAAAACGCTCCATGAGAATAATAATAACTGACTAAAACACCTCATGCAATATTAATATTGCAAAACATGTCAGAATTATGAGACTGTCTGATAAACAGTAAACAGGCAGTCAGCACAGTTAAGATTATTTACAATGAATTCAAATAGTAATACAATGACTATTAAAGAAGCATTTACACTGAAGACAGAACTTAGGCTACTGCTGATTTAATGTAGCGGACAGACAGATCATATTGACATGCTTTTGTCATCCTTTGAAGTTTAATTAATTAGCTGACTATAATTAATGATCAGAGTTGGGAAGTTTACTTTTTTTAAATGTAGTAGGTTACAGATGACTAATTACCCTGTTAAAAATGTAATAAGTAATGTAACTGACTATGTAACTATTTGTATTGATATTCTAATGTTAATTATGGTTATTTTATGTTTTTTGTGAGTCACTTTGGATAAAAGCCTCTGCTAAATAACATAACCATAACATACGGTTTCATTAAACAAATAAACAAAAAGGCTAACAGTTGGTTTTGCAGCGAGTCATCATAGGCTAACAGATGACATTTAGCACGTGTTGCTTGTATTGCTGTCCAATTGAATACACCAGAATAGTTGTTAACTTTAAACAAACAACATGATTCACATTACTCACACTCTTACTGTAATTAGTGATTAAATCAACAATTAATGTAGAACACCTAGTTGGGCTTGCCAAAATCACGCTACAGTTTCATTAAACAAATAATCAAATATGCTAACGAAACTAATGCTTTTGCTAATAATGCTTTTACCGAAAGCTATAGCTAACGAATAATTGTTTTTAGTCCCTTTAATACTGTTAGAAGCTATCATAAGCTAACAGATGTTTGTTTGTATTGCCTTAAGACTATCAAGGACCGTCTCCACAGCAGCGTTAAAAAAATCTTGGAGGTGGGCGTATCTGAGGCTTGGGGATTTTTTTGCGATCAACCAATCACATGAATCTCCCGCCCGCGACATACGAAGCCAAAAAGCCCGAAGTAAACTGGATATAAACTCCCCAAAACAGGCGAAAACATACCACTGTCTCTGCCACCTCCCTCCATGCCTGGCTCCTCCGGTTTATATCCCGGTAGGTCTGGTCATAAAGCACCGGGTGATTGATTCGCTACCGCTAATTTCTCCTCCATTTTTTGGAATATGAGGAAATTACCTGCGGTCTGGCTCTCCCAGCATACACGCCGTTTGATTGGCTAGAGCTTGAACTGTCAGATTTGCGTACACGGGATTTGATTGGCTGACGCTTCCTCCTCAGCTTCAAAAGTTGAACATTGTTCAACTTTGGATCTTGAAAATCCTGAGAATCTCCGCTCGCCTGCCCACAATGCATTTCGGCGAAAGCGAAAAAAAGTGACGTCACCCCATTCAAAGTGAATGGGCAGAAGCGTTTCAAGATTTTTTAACGCTGCCGTGGAGACGGCCCGTCATAGTTAATGTTAGCTAATCACAATTCATTTCAAGACACCGGAATTGTTATTAATGTTAAACAAATAAAACTTTAAAAGCACTTCACATTACTCACACTCTCTGCGTTGTCATTCATATTCAGGTCTCCTGCTCGCTAGGTGGCAGTGTCACGAAAAACTAGGGTCCTGTGAGTGTGGTCCTGTGAGTGCGGTCCTGGGAGTGCAGTCTCCGACGCTGCAGCTTCATGCTACTCGTGGGCTATGGCAACAAGTGAAGAACTTCAATGTGGCGCGAAATGGGCGGGAGTTTGAAGAGATTAGAACTAAAGAGCTAACTTCTATTAATTTTCTGCATTTTTGAGGCTCTCATCAAATTCAATTAATTTCTACTCAAAATGTCACAGCTAATTTTATATATTAAAAAAGTAATTAAAATGCAATTAATACATATTTTAAGTTTGTTGAATTCAGCTCAATGTGATTCCTAAATGCACAAAGTATTTTTTATTATGTAAAGGCTACTACAAATTATTTATTTAAAATGAATTGACCCCAGTCACAGTTTTTACAGTGTGGTAGCTCCTATAACTCCTTTTTTAAATCATATTTTTCCATTTATCATTCCATTTTAAACATACTCATTACAGTGAAACCTGCAATTATTATGCCATTGTAAATATGACTACAATCTTTCTGCCAGACACATTTTAACGAATAATCTGCTGTTCCCGTCCCATTACATAACATTTCCCTAATAAAGGAAAGTGTGCCACATTGCCAAGAAAGCCCGGCAATCTCACAATGCTCTTGCATCATATGCTGCTGGTATAAAGCCGGGCTGCTGTGCGCATGATCCACTGCCTCTCTGTGTCGTTGCTCCTTCTCCATTGGCTCTCCCTCCGTTGTGCACGCAGCCTTCACACCCGCCCGGCCCCCCCACAGCACAGTGCGTGCGCCGAACGAGAGTGTGCACCCTTACCCACGCTGCCAGGATCAAGACACCGCTTCCCACGCTGCTTCTTAGAGAGGAGAAAGGATGGAGAAAAAGAGCGAGATCAACGGGCACGCACTGCCCAGCTCCGCGTCCACCGATATGATCGTGGAGAAAAGCCCGAAGATGAAGAAGAGTTTCAAGGAGAAGCTGATGGAGTTCCTTGGGAAGAACCTGCTGGTGATCCTGACGGTGTCCGGGGTGCTGGTGGGCGTCGGGCTCGGTATGATGGTCCGCAACATGGACCTCACCAAGGCGCAGATGACCTACTTCGCCTTCCCCGGAGAGATGCTCCTCCGGATGCTGAAGATGATCATCTTGCCCCTGGTGGTGTGCAGCCTGGTGTCCGGCGCCGCCAGCCTGGACACGCGCTCCCTGGGCAAACTGGGGGGCATCGCGGTCGCCTACTTCCTGGTGACCACGCTGATCGCCTCGGGGATCGGGGTGACCCTGGCCTTCATCATCAAACCCGGGGTGGGGGCTGGAGCCCTGAACACCAACGACCTGGGGCTGGAGAGCATCAGCAACAACAAGGAGACCACCGACTCCTTCTTAGACCTGGCAAGGTACCGTGAACTCAACACTCAACATCTTTTGTTCCGTCAATGTTCAACAGGCTCACTACTTTAAATGTGTAATTCGTTACAATAATTTGTTACTGTAAAAATGTAATCGGTATCGTAATCTGAGTAAATGATTTGTTGCTTTACTATTTTACACACCAATGGTAGGCTACATCAATTTATCAGATGCATGCGAGGTTGAAAGGGTTACTTTCAAAATGTATATCGATACAATAAATAGTTAGCCTACCTGTAAAAAAAATGTAATCCGTAACTCAATCTGAGTATGACAATATAAAAGTAATGTAATCCTGTTACTTTCTGTTACTTTTGGATTACCTCAATATCAAATACAATGCAAATAAATACAAGAGAAATAAATATAAACAGGTTTTTACTTAAGTGTATCATGTAAAACAACAGAACAATGTAATTTAAATCAAGAAGAAACCAAGATATTTAGTAAATAATTAAGAAAATTCTCAATACTTTTTTTTGTATCTAATTACGTCATCCCGTTACATGTAATCCGTTAACAGTACCGTTGCCAGGTACCGTGAACGCAACACTGCACTTAAAAGCACTTCTTCAACATGTTCAACAGGCAGGGTTTTTTCAAACTATATTCTGTTACAATAACTAGATACCTGTCAAATTAAGTGTAATAAGTCATTTTACAACAAACACAATATGCTCGTTTTTAGTTTGTTACTAAAATTATAATCCTGCTAGTTATCCCCAGTCTTTAGAAATGTAACTGTAATTTGATTAGGGTTTTATTTATGTAACTGTAAAAGGATACATTTTAGAAACTCAGAGTGGGAGAAGTACTCAGATCTTGTACATAAGTAAAAGTAGAAGTACCAGAGTGTAGGATTACTCTGTTACAAGTTAAAGTCCTGCATTCAAAATGTTACTCAAGTAAAAGTACAAAAGTATTAGCTTCAAAAATCTACTCATTATGCAGATTGGTCCATTTCAGAATATGATATGTTTTATAATGATTGATCATTAAAGTGTTCTGAAAGCTGGTAAAGGTGCAGCAAGTTTGAATGACTTTGTATACTGCAGGGTAGCTTGTGAATTTACTCCAGGTGGAACTAAAGTCTGATTTAAGACTTGATTATATTTCACATTATTAATCCAGATCTGTAAAGTACAGTAGAAGTACAACGTAGCATAAAATGGAAATACTCAAGTTAAGTAAAAGTATCTCAAAATTGTACTTAAGTACAGTACTTGAGTAAATGTACTTAGTTACTTCCCACCTCTGTAGAAAAATGAAAGAGTAATGTAATCTGATAACTCTCCATGGCTGTTGGATTAGATTTCAAGAAAAAAAAAAGAAAAGAAAAGAAAATACTTTTTTTGATTACATTTGATATAGAGATAGCCAATTGCCAATAAATACAAGTTCAATACTTGTAATCCATTACTCGTACAGGCTAGGGGAATACCTGTAACAGCATTACGTAATCGGGATACTGAAAACGGTAACTGTATTCCCTTACAGATGAATACAAAAACATGTAATCAGATTACATTTTTAAAACATGGCGATTACTTGCAGGATACCAATGTTACGATTCATTTACAGTACGAAGCAATGAGACACATCTAACTGTAAAGGCCACTGTTGAGTATCAAGCTGATCATAATGATATTGCAGCAGGGGAGGGGAACCTGTGCTCCTGTAAATAATGAATGACATTAAAGAGCAGGTCAGTGTACCCTGCGATATCTGAAACACTTAATACCGATGTTTGTACTGTCATAAGAGGTCACAGTTTCGAGATCTGGACTACTGTGGTGCGCTTCTAGTCAGTGCATCAGTGTGAAAGGGCAGAGGTGGACAATTTAGACCTAGTCGTGCCCTTTTTTGTAAGTCAAAGTACTACAGAAATACCCTAAGTGTCCTAAGTAAAGTTGACCAACACATTACGGGACAGAAGTTGAGAGAACACTGAATGTGTGGCACTACCTGACAGTATGAAGCTCGTCTGACAGGAAAGCTTCCTAACCAGTGCTGTTGGTTTTGAGTTACGTTAGATGTGTTCGCTTCACACCAAACGGCTTCCTTCGCGCCTCTCTCTTCTCATTCTGACAGGATTCAAAACATAGTTAGAGCTCAAATAGCCTTATCATACAGGCTGATATATAACATATAGTAGCAGTAGGATGCATGCAGACCTGGGGATTATATTTGATGGGATTAGGTTATTGGGATAGTAAGTGTATTCCCTTACCGTTACATAGAAAAAGACATAATCAGATTACAAAATAGGGGATTACTAGCAGGATAACTATGTTACTAAAAAACAAAAAAAGAGCATATTGTGTTTGTTGTAAAAGGGCTGCTTACATTTTACAGGTAAGTACTGAAAAAACTGAAACGTTGACTTTAAATTAAATGTATTATGTCAAGAACTGTATTAGGTTAGTTGAAAGCAATGCAAAACATTATCTCAAACTTAATATAGTTGTTTTTTACTACAGTTATGTGAACATTTTTCCCATAATACATTTAATGAAAGTCTGCGTTTCAGTTTGATCAGTGTGACACTGCATGCATCTGAGACGTTTAGGGAACATTGTACAGTAGTAAAGGGACCACGTCTTCATGGAGGGCTTCTCCAGCCCTCGTTACCCTCGCCCTCCCTCAGTGTGAGGGAAAGCTGACAGCTGCTTGGAGAGTGGAGTGTATTTTGAGAGAGAGAGAAGAGGAGGAGTGATAAACCCTAACAGTAGTACAAACTGAAAACCAACTGCTGCTGTCAGCTTTTCTCCCTTATCACAATAGCAGGTGGTCAGGCTGATTGTCTTACACTTTAACTTTATATAGGAGTTGTTGGAAAGATTTCAGGAAGGTTGGAGCAGCACAGAATTTACACAGCAGCTGATGGTTTGAATGGGATAGTTGCAGCAGAAAGTGTAAGATCCTTCTTTTCTCTGTAAAGGATTTATATGAATGTACTGTCTAAACGTACTTACACCAAACTATGAAACACCTGAACATTGTTTTTATTTTTCTTAACACATCTGTTGAACAAAATATCTACACTCCTAAAACCATATGTCATAAATTCATACCAGACACACATTCACTGCCAGCAGTGCAGTAATACAAGGTTTTGTCACAATCATAGTGTAAAACTAAATAAAATAAATACAAATAATAATAATAATAATAATAATGCAAATAAAATGTATTTATATAGCACCTTTCTAAACATTTACAACGTTCTTTCACAGAAATTGTCAAACATTAAAGGGGACCTATCATGCAAAATGCACTTTTGTACGTCTTTTATACATGAATATGTGTCCCCGGTGTTCCAGGGAACTCACCAAGTGTCAGAAAACACAACCCTCTCTATTTTCCTCCATACCCAAATCTCTAAAAAAGGGGCTGCAACGGATCTGATACAGACTGATCCAGATTTGAATACTTCTATGTCGTCACAGAAGTGGCGCTACGGCTATTGGGCCAACTCTCCACCTATCAGGGGAATGTGGGGTTGGGCCACGGCCGGCCATTGCCGCTCGAAAGCGCTGGAGACGCTGTAGTACATATGCCAGGCCTGTAAGTGGCGCTGTAGTCTGTCACAAAAGCAGCGAAGAAGACTTCCCGCCCATAGTTACCATGGTTACCCTTCTGTTTATTCTCCGCTGTGGCTTTTTTTCTCCCTCCCCGAGGCAAGCGTTTGCTCCCGCTGCTTTAATTCAATGCAATCCCCCCCCCGTCGAGGCAAGATGTCCGTTAAAGTTTAAATCTTCCGGACAAAATTAGAAAAGTGCCGGTCAAAGGTCTTCTTTGTTATTTATTGAGCTTTAAAACAAATGAATAACGACTCTATATAATAAAAAACGGAGGACGGAGATCTCTTTTTCTCCCCCTCTTGTGACAGCCCAGCAGCTGATCAGAGCACGTCTCCCCTCTCCTGCAGGGGGGCGTGGTCAGCAGAATCAGACCCGTAGACAGCAAACAGCACATAGAGCGAAATGAGGCATGGCTAAAATGCATGATCTGTTTGGTATTTTGAAAACAGAAACGTATAAATATACCTTATATAGGTATGGCCCTACAATATATCATTTAAATATAGCATGATAGGTCCACTTAAAAACGTAAAAGCAAAACAAATGTTAGCATCAAATTATACTTTGTACTTAGAGAACCAAACGTAAAGTACTCATTTTGCACAATGGCCCATTTCAGAATTGAATATATTTAGAAAATGCATTTTGAAAGAAAAAAAGAAAAAAGTAAACAATGATGAATACAATTCAGAAACTACTGTTTTCTACTTATTATTTAAAAAATGAGGTAAACCATGTTTCCATACTGTCCAAAGAAATGTGCAAACTTTTGCAATAAGTGTATAACTCAGAATCGAATGAATCACTCCTAATGACATTAGCAGGCGTTTCCGCCGCCCTGAATTCAAAGGACCGTGAATGATGTTTGGCTTCAATTAATAAGGAAATCAAGTTGTTATGCAACATCTTTAAAATGAGCCTTAAGAGAGCAGCCAGTGGGGCCCCGGGGTTTTGGGGGGGGGGGGGGGGGGGGGGTCTGTGAGAAAAGCTTGCCAGCTCTCGGCTCTGGTTTCCCAGAGTTAATCCAGATCCTCACCCGTCATGTGACAGCAGGAAACCTGACTGCCTTCTCACAGAGAAGAAGAGTTCGAAAACCTGTATGGGTTCAAGAATTCAACCAAACAAAAACATTTCTCAGCAGCATATTGAAACGAAGACATTACTAAGTTACAACATCATGGCTACCTGCCAGTTTAACCAGTGGAGCTGCCACATTAGATTTGACCCTGAACTGCAGGCAAGGATGACGCAGGGGTTTCAGACTGAACTGCTTGGCTGTGGTCTGGCCATGGGAATAGATGTGGCCAAAGAGGATAAAGTTACAACAACGTTAAAATATAATTAGCATTATATATGGCAAGCCCTTTATGTGTATTTGTTAAAGTTTTTGTCAAACATTAAACTTCATGACACTCGTGGAATTATTGCTTTTTTCAGAATGATATCATTTTTAGTAGTATGTCAGAAATCCTTCATGTATACAGACTTACATTGGGGTCAAACACGTGTAAAGTTATTTTCTGTTGTTGCTGTCAATCTGTTTTGCTCCACCACTTTGATCCAACCTCAAATATCTCAACAACTATTGGTGGTATTACCAAGGCATTTTATAAAAGCATTCATGCTCTCCAGAGGATTAACCCAACTGACTTTTTATGAGGTTATCATTTTAGATTTTAGGTTAAATGTCTCTACATCTGTAGCGCTAATTAGCAAACTAAAAAAGGCAACATGGGGGAGTACCTGCTAAACATAAACTTGGTAACTCTATCATTGAGACTATTTTAGCAAATAGCTTTCATCAGTACAGCTAAAAAGAGCTGCTAGCATGGCAGCAGACTTTGTTCACTATTTGGCTGCATTCTAAAGCAAGCAAATGTCATGCAATGTGCATTTATCCTCATGCAATGGTTTGTATCATCAAGAACCTGCAGTGAAAAACAGGATTGCACATTTTCTTGGTTAGGTTAAGCCAAAGGTCCTGGTTTGGGTTAAACATGTCTACGTACTTATGTACGTACGTTTTGTAACAACTGAGTAAATATTAACTTTGGGTTTCTGGAAGAGTGGTTATTATCAGTGTTTGGTTGTTTGGTGTCTACGAACAACAGGATACATTACACATAGTAAGAACCACCAAAAATAATGTTTAACAATAACTTGTTCATTGTGACCTTTGGTTATCTTTGATCTTTGATACAACTTCTTCACGCCCAAAAAACATTGTTTTCATGTTCACCAAATGAACCCAAAACTCCATCTTAATCAGTCAAAGTAACAACAATGCAATAGATTATATAAGATATCTGTTTATTAGGGTTAGGGGTTGCCTTTTCTTATTTGTGGAGTCACAAACAGTAGATGAATTCTGTAACGTTTTAAGCCGTTTTTGGCCGTTTTTGGCTAACTGGACTAACCTTTTAAATGATGAGAAAGATAATTTTCTATATATGAATTAATTCAATTGCTTTAATTTAAAGACATGTCCTTTTAAGAATACATATATTTACTGCTACAGGAGGAGAGCCGAAGTCTAAGGAGTGATGATTAAACAATACTGTGAACATGTATCATTGTCATTGGGTTACGAAATACTTTCTTAATGGGAAGTTGTTTTATTTTTATTTTTTATTTAACCAACTACAGGTTAATTATTTCCCTTGTTTCGGTTCAGCATAGACATCAAATCAGTTTCTGTGAATCTAACTTTTCCTTCTCTTTCTTTCACAGGAATTTATTCCCAGCTAATTTGGTGGCAGCTGCTTTCCGCTCTGTAAGTAACAGCACGTCAATTCGTCACACTACATTGTCCACACTATATTCTCCAATAGCCCTTTTTCATCATCACGTTTACTTAATCCTCTTGCCACCTGTGTCTTGTAAGGATTTATCATCAGAATGAACTCCTCCAACCAGCGACTATATATCCTGGCTGTAGCTCTGGAGTCTCATAATGCCTCTTAATGAGGGGACACTCACAATAGAGAGCGCTGACCGCCTGAAAACTCCTTTTCCTTGTCCCTTACCATCGGTTACCATGGCGAAACCATTACATTCCAGGCAGCCTAGCAACCCACCTTGCTTCACTGCTCTTGAACACGTCCCGCTTTACTTCCTAGAATTATGATCGTGCACGTTAAGGCTAAAATAAGAAGCAGGACATTTCAATATTTGGGGATGCAGGGAAACCAAATGGCTATGCACACACAGAAAAGCAGAGTGGCTTACGCACACAGACGCTCGTATCTGAACCAATTGCTTTCCTAAATCAGGTCAGTGAATGATAAACTCACAAACAAGGTAGTGACTTGTGCAGCCAGGTCACAGAGTTCGATATTCAGCCCCTGCACCCAGCCTATACTTTGGCAGAGCCCCTGTGGAATGGGCCCAACTGTGGATTAAACCAAGAAAGCAGAGGACAGGGGAGATTTGCACAACATGACAAGCAGCTAGATGCTTAAACAGACCTTTGAACAAATGGAGTGTAAGATTTAGATGATGTACTGTATATCTCTTTGCATTTCATTTGAAGTCCATAGATCTGTCAACATGTTGGGTTGCAGGGCTTTTTAAAGCACTGCAGAGAGGGGGGGTCTTTGTTGCCGTGCTGGTTGTCTCCATTACTATTGAAAGACTGTCTGTACTTCAATGGACAGTTTGAAGCTGGCCCCCAACCCCATGCACATGCTGCATTCCTTATAAGAGCAATACAAAGACATAAGTAATGCCATTTGTGCCAATGAAACAAGCATTTTAAATTGGGCCTTTTTTACATTTGACTGATTTCTGTCAATCTTTGCTGATTGTTTAGCTTAAGTTTGCACTGCTCCAAACTGTAGGTAATATGCTTTGAGTTACTCATGCAAACCCTCTTTAAAACTATAGAAATGTTCCCTTTAAGTGCTGTTCTGATAAAATGATTTAATTAAAAGTGTAGTTTGACATTTCAAGGAGAGTTAGATAAGAAGATCGATACCTCTCATGTGTCTAAGGGTAATTACGGAGGTTGAGCTTGAAGGAAATTAGTTTTGCACAGCATAAAGTTTGGAAGCAGTTGGAAAAGCTAGCCTGGCTACTTCCAAATGCTTGAATTATTGATACTAAAAGAGTAGAAGGACATTTCAAGGAGAGTTAGAAACCAAGACCGATACCTCTCTAATGTCTGTTGATAATTATGGAGGTTGAGCTTGGAAGAAATTAGCTTAGCTTAGCTTAAAGTGTGGAAGCAATGGGAAACATCTAGCAGGGCTCCTTCCAAAATGCTCCAATTATTGAAATTAAAAGAGTAGTTTGATATTTTAAGGAGTGTTAGATAAGAAGATCAATACCGCTATCATGGGTAATTATTAGGGATGTAACGATATATCGAATATCGCGATATCGCGGTAAATAAATGTCTCAATACCGTCGACTCGTGAGACTGACAAAATCTACCGCGATTTTTAAAAAAACATTATAAAAAATTGTTTTAAACGCATTTTTTTTTTTTAAACCTTTATTTAACCAGGTGGTCACCCATTGAGATCATCGATCTCTTTTTCAAGAGAGACCTGTCTAACATGGCAGCAAGTAGGTTACAACATGAACATAAAACAACAGATAACACAAAAGGACATCGTATTTACAGGGCTACATTTACATACCTAGAGACATTGACAAGTACCAACAGTATATCTCGCCCTGTCAATAAGCCTCACCTTCTTGGCAAAAACTGTATTGTTTTTGAAGTGGTGGAGAGACAATGCACAGTTTTACCCACTGCTGTCACCCATGGACAAAGCATATCTCTCTGTCCCAGCAACATCAGTACCAAGCAAGAGAGTTATTTCCACAGCAGGGGATATTGTAAACGCCCAAACATCCCAGCTTCTACCTGGAAATGTGGGCATGCTCATATTCCTAAAAACCTGTCTGATGATGCTGAGTGAGTGAGTTAGTGAGTTAGAGTTGAGTTACTTGAAAAACTAAAGTGAAACTTGATTTATTTTATTGCAGGGTCTGATTATTATATTGTTGACACTTTAAAATACTACTAAAATGCTGTACAAATCAGATTTATTATTCAATAAAGAAAAAAAAATTCAAGTAAAAAAAAAAAAAAAGTAAAACAATAAATAAATCACAATTGTTTTTCTTCTTTATTTTTCAATATCGCGATAAATATCGTACCGTGGACTTTTTATCGCGATATTATCGTACCGTGAGTTTTTGGTATCGTTACATCCCTAGTAATTGTGGAGCTTGAGGTTGGAGGAAATTGTGGAAGCAGGGGGAAACAGCTAGCTTTGCTACTTCCAAATGCTCAAATGCTAACTAATCAACACATAGGGGAGTCTTGTCCTTTACGTGAGAATGTACTTAACAAAAATGTATGAATTAAACCATCTTTCCTTTATGTTGCAGTATGCCACTGATTACAAGATGGTTGCTGTAGGGAACGACACAAACGGGACTGCCCTCTATCAAAAGGTATATGTGTGTATACACACACACACACACACACACACATATACACACACACACACACACACACACACACACGCACGCACGCACACCCACATTATCCTTGTGTAAAGTGCTAAAAATTGCACTCTCGAAAGGAAAAGTGGTTTGCTCCGAGCGGCTTCTAAGTGTGTGTTTGAGTCATTCATATAGGCAAACTCCCTGAGTAAGCACTGTGTGAGAGACTAATGGATGGCCTGGTTAAGGGAGAAGGATGATCAGTAACATGCAAGGCCGGACTGGGACAATAAGTCAGGCTGGGAATTATACACTCAGCCAGGCCACTACCATTTTTGGCGTTGCTGCCCATAGTGAAAGCCCTATAGTTTACATCTACTACTCAATAATAAACATATGGACAGGGATTATTATTTTTAAAAATTTGCAAAATTTAGGAACCTATCCATGTGAACATATTTTGGGGGTGGACCTCAAATCCTCTAGGGGGGTCCGGGGGCATGCCCCCCCAGTAAGTTTTTATTTTTTTATTTTGGAGTTAAATGCATCAATCTGGTGCATTTTGAGGGGAAAATAAAGAGAGATCTATGGAAACGCCCACATGAAACAGAACTGTATACATTTAAATAATCATAAAATCATAAGAACATGGCCATAACCAATAACATACCATATCCAATATAAAAAATAATTGAAAGTTGTTTATTTATTTATTTTTGGTTAATTTATAGTTGTGAGTGTGTCTGTGCTCCTGAATCAGCCTCTCCTGTCTCCCTCCTCTCCCCCCTCTCCCCCCTCTCCCCCCTGATCCTCTTTGAGGCAGCAGCAAAGACTAGTTTTAGCTCTCAACAAGTTTTAAAAGTGTTTCTTACCTTTTTTCACCTATTTAACATTTCTTTCTTTGTATTCATGCGTATTTTACTAATCACTCCCCCCTCAAATGGAAATATGTGTTACATAAATGGTGACCAAACCGTTTGAGACCTACTGAGATAACATAGGCGTTGTGCACACGGGAACGTTTGCGTTTATGCACAGTATGCGTATTCAAAAAAGTCTTCCGTTCACATGCATTCGTTTCATTTAACGTGTCTGTTCAAACGAGACCGCTGGAAACGCTGCAGTACATATGCCGGGACTGTAACGGGCCGTCTCCACGGCAGCGTTAAAAAAATCTTGGAGGTGGGCGTATCTGAGGCTTGGGGATTTTTTTGCGATCAACCAATCACATGAATCTCCCGCCCGCGACATATGAAGCCAAAAAGCCCGAAGTAAACTGGATATAAACTCCCCAAAACAGGCGAAAACATACCACTGTCTCTGCCACCTCCCTCCATGCCTGGCTCCTCCGGTTTATATCCCGGTAGGTCTGGTCATAAAGCACCGGGTGATTGATTCGCTAAACCGCTAATTTCTCCTCCATTTTTGGAATATGAGGAAATGATCTGCGGTATGTCTCTCCCAGCATACACGCCGTTTGATTGGCTAGAGCTTGAACTGTCAGATTTGCGTACACGGGATTTGATTGGCTGACGCTTCCTCCTCAGCTTCAAAAGTTGAACATTGTTCAACTTTGGATCTTGAAAATCCTGAGAATCTCCGCTCGCCTGCCCACAATGCATTTCGGCGAAAGCGAAAAAAAGTGACGTCACCCCATTCAAAGTGAATGGGCAGAAGCGTTTCAAGATTTTTTAACGCTGCCGTGGAGACGGCCCGTAAGTGGCGCTGTAACTTCCGCCACAAAATACACCAAAAGCAGCGAAGAAGACTCCGCAGCAGCCCCGCAGCAATGTTGCCATGGCTACCCTTCTGTTCATGCCCCGCGGTGGATTTAGCAACATGTAGTTCATGTAATTCTCCATGTCCACTTGTTGCTGATGGTTGTGGTAGAGGAGCTGTATATTTTGCACTAATATCTGTAGCATGGTCAGTAGCAGTAGCACTAGCAGTAGCTACTGACAGGAGGAAGTGTGTGTGGCGATTGCTGGTATTCAGCGGGATATAGTCATTTCCTCAGCATATGGATAAATGCAACGGGGAAGTTAACTGAAAGAAACCGAATCTGTGGATATTGCATCGACCGACCAAGAAACACGTCTCCGTGGAGAGGACGCGCTCAGAAAGAGAGATATTCTCTACAAACACCGGGTGAGATCGCTCCTTTGTCAATATAATGGATCAATGCATGAAATCTGACTCTGTTTATTTTGTTTAAGGAGTATATTGGGCGTTAACAATTCTGGTTTGCCTTTTATAATATTATTTCATTCAAGAACCCCTTGTGCGTTTAATTAACACAGCTATTTTTGATAGTTGATCGTTACAGATGGCTACTGGCCATGCTACAGCAGTGAGCAGGAGAGGTGGGGCTATCGTTATTTTTTCAGGAAATATTCGTATAGAGGTGATTACACGGACTCGGTTGACCCCCCAGAGCGTTTCGTTTGCAAATCTATCCACCTTGGGACCCGTTATCGTTTGTGGGGTCCGTTTCTATCGGCCTCGTGTAAATAATAGGGCTATACGCACGCGAAACTATGCAGATACAAGCAGTTTTGTCCTCGTGTAAACGGCGCCTTAGACTAAATTAACTATCTAAACACTCAGAGAGTCCTTAACCTCACCTGAGCTGTAGTTTTCAGCCTCTCAGTCTGAAAGGAGAGGACTCTCCCTCCACCTTGTTGTTGAAACAGCTCCTTATATCTTTTAGAGCAGCTAGACAACAAAAATACAAGTAACCGGTGCTCTCTCTCTCTCTCTCTCTCTCTCTCTCTTTCTCTCTCTCGCTCTCTCGTGCCACACATACACACACCCTCCCGGACACAGACCCACAGACCGAGGGCTTTGATTTATGTAATGTCCCAGAGAATAAGGTGCCAAATAATCACGAGTGGATTTCTAGTTTCAGAGCTCATGTAATAAATTGTCCATTACGTATTTCCTCTTATCATCACAGTTTTGTTTATTAAGTGTTTATCACCTTAAAGCATTTTAAGCTTAAAGGCATAAGGAGTAAGACTTATTTGTTGCAATTTGTAAACAAAACATTCAGAGTTAGCTGTCAATGAGTAGATATCTGGTCTTCAAGAATCATGAAGTAAAATGATGTTTGACTTCATGTTAACCTTCAATATGTTGAATAACACCTATCCTCTGCTGACAATTCTATCTGATTTACAATAGTCGAAAAGTTCCTTAAAGGCACTGTTTACCAGGTAAGGTACTCTGATGGAATAAAAGGCTTTATTTACATTGCTCCTTAAAGTGTGAAAAAGTGCAAACATGCAAAGAGCAGATAGCAGCAAAGCACATCTTCATCAAACAAAGTGTTGTTTATTCAGCGCATTTTAAGGTTGAAGGCACAATGAAGAGTGAGTGAGTCCATCACTATGGCCATATGCACACGGGAACGTTTGCGTTTATGCACAGTATGCGCTTTCAAAAAAGTCTTCCGTTCACATGCATTCGTTTCATTTAACGTGTCTGTTCAAACAAGACCGCTGGAAACACTGTAGTACATATGCCGGGACTGTAAGTGGCGCTGTACTTCCACACGAGACCGCTCGAAAGCGCTGGACACGCTGTAGTACATATGCCGGGACTGTAAGTGGCGCTGTAACTTCCGCCACAAAATACACCAAAAGCAGCGAAGAAGACCCCGGAGCATGGCCCGGAGCAATGTTGCCATGGCTACCCTTCTGTTTATGCCCCGCGGTGGATTTAGCAACATGTAGTAGTTCATGTAATTCTCCATGTCCACTTGTTGCTGATGGTTGTGGTAGAGGAGCTGTAGATTTTGCACTAACATCTGTAGCATGGTCAGTAGCAGTAGCACTAGCAGTAGCTACTGACAGTAGCTACTGGCCATGCTACAGCAGTGAGCAGCAGAGGCGGGGAGAGGTGGGGCTATCGTTATTTTTTCAGGAAATATTTGTATAGAGGCGATTACACAGACTCGTTTGACCCCCCAGAGAGTTTAGTTTGTAAATCTATCCACCTTGGGACCCGTTATCGTTTGTGGGGTCCGTTTGTTACGGCCTCGTGTAAATAATAGGGCTATACGTAAGAGAAACTATGCAGATACAAGCCGTTTTGTCCTCGTGTAAACGGCACCTATGAAAGATAATTCATTCCTCCTTTCCACACATGCCATGAAGATATCTTTTACAACACAGTGTAATAAGCTATCTGAGTTTGCCAAATCAAATCTTTGTCCTGCTTCTTCTTCTTGTTTCATTGCTGGCGTGGTATCAGAGCACCATATACTACTAGCATGATGTATTCCTCTGCCACAGGTTACCAATCACCGGTGTCCAGGAAAAAGACTCCTAATATTCGAAGAAAACCACTTTCTCTGGCAAACTCACACTGACAAAACCTTGTAGCATCAGCAACGTCACGTTTTGATGTTCCGTGTTTGAAATAGTTTTCAGTAGTTTGCAAAAGTTCTGTGCTTTGCTTCTTTAGCAATCAGCAATTTCTTCAATTTTTCTGCGATATCGTCTGCATAGAGTGTATGTGGTATGTGCGTGGTGTTTTTCCTATTTCTGGATAAATAGATCACTGGAAGGTAATCAGATATCTGTAAGGTGTCAGTAGGCTCTAAAATAAGTGCTGGTTGGATTGTCAAATAGCATCTAAAAAAACAACCTTCTGATGTACGGTTTGACATGCTGGGATACTTCTGAAAATGATTGAAATGGATAATCTGACCAATGTGGCAACTTCACACAACCAGTCTTTCTTCCCACAACTAATTATGTGTCTTTCACATGAACTACTGGAGGAAACATCCTAAACTATGGAAAGATGTCCAACATTTTCGACTTTATCCTCACTGGTTTGTAATTCAACCACAGAAGTCTGGTCTGTTTTCAAACCTTGGCTGGTACAACTTTAAAACAAGTTCATTAAGGCTGACAAAAGGTTTTCTGTTTCTATTGATTGGTGAGTTTTTAATTGGTCAACAGTGTTGACCAGTGTCCAGGTCAGCATGACCTACCAGTATCCATTGGGCCTGTCACAAAGATAATGTGTCTGTCTTATCAGGGGACAAACAGCTTGGGCTGGTTGCACATTACTAGATTTCCTTTAGGCCTGTCATTATAGATAAGTGTTTGACGAGTTTGTCGGTGTCAGAAAATTAGGCAGAAGATCGGAAGCCAAAAAACAGATGGATGACATTATACAGACAGTTCAACCGAAGTCTTTCACATATTAGCACATTCTAGTTTTTAGGCTTCTTCCTCATCACCACCCTGTGAGATGCTACAAATACTTTATTTTAAGAGTCTTCTGCAGCGACACACTCAAATGATTCAACACTGTTTGACCGTACAATAAAAAACTAAATCGAACTACTTCTCCCAAGTGGTTATTGCCTTCCCCCACCGACCCTGTATGTTGGAGCAGATAGAGGATCTGATTTTGGCATCAGTCCATGGTATTCGTCTGTTGTGGGTCATCGTGGACAGCCCCACCAGTGCCAGGGATTGAAGCTGGTGGAGCTGTGGGAGAACTGCGAACAATGGAACAGGATTGAGCTCAGGATTTGTTCCTGTCCTTTTTAGTTATCCATCATGCAGTTCACTGAATCCTCATCTGCCCTAGAACCCAAGTTCACACAGATAACTATTTCGCACAAAATACGGCGGCATATATCATCACTATTGTTTGACAAGCATACACCTCCAAAATGAAAGGCTACAAATGTCCAGTCAAAGCATACCCTATACTTTATGTTGCTTGACTACTTGGTCAAAACAGAGCTATTTGAACAACTATCGTAAAGATCGCCATTAAAAAAAAAAAAAAGATTATTCCTGAGGTATCCCCTGATTTGGCCTTTCTTTTTGAAGTAACATGTCTTGCCATCTACTGGATGGATTGGAACCAAATGTGGCACTTATGTTCATGGTTCCTCGACCATGTTACATTACATTACTTGTCACTTGTTAGAGGCTTTTATCCAAACGTGACTTACATACATTCAATACTGTGGGCAATCCTCACAGGACCAATATGGGTTGAAGTGTCTAGCCTAAGGACACAACGACATGCTGAATGCAGTGGAGATTGAACCATTGCCCCCAATGTAAGTCAATGGAATAAACAAAACATTTTGGGACCAAAGACGTCATGGACTGACACAGGAGTTGTAGTACCACCATTTGGCCACTACGAACATTTGCTTCAATGTCCGGCGCATTTCCTTGGTTTAGTCACCTAGGGATTTACCATGCCTTGGAAACACAACATTAGTGAGGAGGGTGGGCGATCCCAATGCTAGGTGTGAGAAATTCTTAGAAATGTTGATTAAAAAAAACTAAAAAAGAATGCATTAATAAAAGACAATTAAAACTAGCTGTAGATTTTTCCATGTTTGACTGTGCATGCTGCTGTACCGTATCATAAAGGGTATGAGATCGTAAACCCAATCAAGGCTGAGAAGAACAGAGTTGTTGTTTAATCATGTCTTTCTACGGTGTCTAAGAAAGTACAGTCGCCCAGTCTCCATTCCACAACCTCTTCACTGTGTTAAGTCTCCTAAAGTCCAACTCTTCTGTGTGTTTTAGGTGCCTATTGGTACAGACACAGATGGCATGAACATCCTTGGTCTGGTGTTATTTGCGATGGTGTTTGGCGTGGCGCTGAGGAAGCTGGGAGAAGAGGGGGAGGAACTCATCCGTTTCTTCAATGCTTTCAACGAGGCCACCATGGTGCTGGTGTCCTGGATCATGTGGTGAGTGAAGTGGATTGCATGTGGGGTTCCAATTATATAAATAGTCATGGCACATTTGTACTGTATTGGATGGTATTTTGTGTTAACACTCAACATGTAAAAGGTTGTATGAGGTAGGCACTGTCTGTCTGTCAACCTTTGGTTGTTAATGTTATCATCCAACATTCTAAAAGCCTTCCTCCTCCTTTTTCTTACCTCTTGTGTCTCTCAGGTATGTCCCTTTTGGCATCATGTTCCTTGTGGGCAGTAAGATTGTGGAGATGGAAGATGTTGGTCTTCTGGTCACTAGTCTGGGAAAATATATATTTGCTTCGATCCTGGGCCACATTATCCACGGCGGCATCGTCCTGCCCCTCATCTACTTCGGCTTCACACGCAAGAACCCCTTCAGTTTCCTGTCAGGCCTCATCACACCCTTCACCACGGCCTTCGCCACTTGCTCAAGGTACAGTATAACATCACGTTGCAGGGTCCCAGATGACCATAACTCAAGCGGAAAAGAAGTTCTGCTTTTTAGTAATAGAGTGGTGCATTAATGAGTCTAGAGACTCTAGGTTCCCTCGTCTAGAAGTCAATGGTTTTTTGAACGTTTAATAGTTGTGCAGTTAGAAGCCTGAAATAACATATTTGAATAAGCCAGGACTTTCACATTTTGTTCTACAACATAAAATACGTCAGTATTATATACCCCTCTCATTAATGTCCAAAGTTTCTGTGTCATGAAAAACTGTGGTTTCTAACAAGTGACCAAATAAACTACCTATTTTCATCTCGCCAACACAAGTCCGCCTTTAGCTTAGCGGTGGTAATGTGCAGCCATGCTACCGTGATGTAATTTGTTTATAGCATAAAGTTAACATTTTAATTTAGCCAAATTCAATTACGCCTCAAAATCAAAAAGTTATGTTAATATCCTGCTAAACAAAACAAGTTAGGTATCACAAATGTGTGTTAGCCACAGAGCTGATTTTCTGCAATATACCGACATCCAATAGGTTTGAATAGCCCTTTAAGGAGCCCTTGTAGGGAGTGTCACATTCTTTGAACTGTATGTTATTCAATTGTAACTATTAATGGTATTGGTTTTAATTGGTTGATAAAGTTGAAATGGTTATGCTGTATCTCTATCTGTTTTTCTCATCAGTTCAGCAACTCTTCCCTCCATGATAAAGTGTATCGAGGAGAACAATGGAGTCGACAAGCGCATCAGCCGCTTCATCCTTCCCATTGGGGCCACTGTCAACATGGACGGAGCAGCCATATTCCAGTGCATCGCTGCTGTCTTCATCGCTCAGCTCAACAATTATGAGCTGAACGCTGGACAGATATTCACCATCCTGTGAGTTCAGGGAACGATAACAAGTTTTCTTCCTATTGCTCAGCATGAGAAGAAAACACATACCAAAATCCACATTCCATTGATTTGTTCTTACATTGAAAAGTCTGCTTTCTGTTCCATGCGTGTTATTATTAGTAGTTCATATAATTATTTCATCATTATTCCTAGTGTGACAGCTACAGCCTCAAGTGTGGGCGCAGCAGGCATCCCAGCTGGCGGCATCATAACCATCGCCATCATTCTGGAGGCCATCGGCTTGCCTACCAACGACCTATCACTTATGCTGGCTGTCGATTGGATTGTGTAAGTAAAGCCTGCAAATAACAACTGAAATTAGTATTAAAAAACACCCAGAGCTACATCTGATCATGTCTGTAAACAAGTTGCCAACATTACGGTTAGCTTAACTAGACCAGGGTTCCTGGGAAACCTGAACAATCTGTTGTACTTTTACCAGCTTGCCTTGCTGGAGTAGAGAACACACAACAGCAGCATGATAAACATGAACAAGTTTAAATGCATACCTGCTTTACATGTACCAGGTGCTGCAAAGGTTTTTGCTATCAGAAGTCACTCCAAGTTTTTTTTCTTTTCTAATGCTGTTGTTATAACAAACCCATGTATTCACTGGTAGGAGCTCGTAAATTGTGATTTTGTCAGTACTTCTTTTAGTTATCTTAATGGGAAGATATTGTACGTTGAAATCCATTGCGACAATTATTGTAAATACTAGTATTGCAGGTCCACTGCATGGTACGGCACGTTACTACTTAACCACCTCTGTGGAGATTCCAAGCAGGCTGAGCCCAAGCCCTCAAGAAGAACCAATTTTCATATTGGTCAGATTAGGGAATTACAAGTTAATGAATGGCAACCTGCAGTTGGTCCATTGATGAGGTGCAAACTTATCCCTGTTTGGTTGTCAATGGGAGGATTCAACACATTTCTTTTGAATGATTTGAAGGCAGTTTGATGTGGTGGCGCCACGGCAGTCAACTGAGAGTCTGAGCTACACGTAGTTGTACAAACCGTTGCTATCTTCAGTCAACTCGAACTTGGTAGAGTGGCAGGATTCTAAGGTCTAAACCAGGGCAAATAACTATAATAAACAAAACAGAGGAAAAGACTGGGTACCAATAGTTAGTTGTAGGGTTAGTAGGGTTAGGGTTACAGGTGGGGCCAAACAATTACCTTTTCAATGTTTACTTAAAGGGGACCTATTATGCAAAAAGCACTTTTTGATGTCTTTTATACATAAATATGTGTCCCCGGTGTGTAAGGGGACTCACAAAGTTTCAGAAAATACAACCCTCTCTCTTTTCCTCCTTACCCACATCTCTAAAAAAAACGGGGGTGCAAACGAGCAGATCCAGGATTTGGCTCCTATGACGTCATTGGCGAAATGTGGCACACGTGACACGTCCCAACCTATCGTCTCTGTATACAGTCGTCTAGCTGAATCCCCTCTCGCAGCTGTGTGTCTGTGTATTCAGTAGGGTGTCTGCAGGAGGCACTTAGAGTAAATTGTTGTATATAATACATATAATGGCACTGTTCTAGCGGTAAACACTTAAGAAAGAACATGTCAAACTATGTGCTGTATCAGAAACAATGTGCGGCGTGTTTTGGGAGTAATATGGTCTGTGTTTACATTAGCAAGCATCCTAACACTCAGAGCTAACGCTGTACTGGAGAGAATATGTGTAACGTAATGTCCTTGTGGTAAACCCTGCGAGAGAGAAACGTTTGAGCTCCATACTGTTTCAGAAATAATGCTTGATGTGGTTTGGAACATAATATGGCATTTAATCACGGCAGCGTTTAGCTGAGTTTCTCCCGGTAGAAAACTCTTAGCAGGGGAAAGCTGCGTGATGCTACAAAGGGGCGTGGCTAGCAGCAGCTGTTCCATTTAAAGCTACGGTCACAGAATCAGCCTTTTTGGAACAGGGCTGGAATAGAGGAGAATAGAGGGGTATGAGGCATGGCTACAATGGGTGATCTGTTTGGTATTTTAAGCAAAAAAACTTCACAGACATGTTTTGTATAGGTATGGCCCTACAATATATTTTTTCAAATATAGCATAATAGGTCCCTTTTAAGGTACACCGAACTCAGCTGTCTGTCTCTTACTCATATTTTGTGTACAGGGATCGTACCACAACGGTGGTGAATGTGGAAGGCGATGCTTTGGGAGCTGGAATCCTCCACCACATCAACCAACAGGAAATAAAGAAGCAGCAGGAGCGGCAGCAGCAGCAGGATGGGGAGCTGGCTGAGGTCCGGGTGGAGGCGGTGGCCAATGCCCAGGCGGAAGAGGAGACCTCCCCGCTCGTCACAAACCAAACCAAAGCCTCAGCGGCCATGCCGGAAGCCATTGAGTCTGTCTTGTAAAATGTGCAAGACTTTTCTTTCTTGCTTCCCGACCTTTCACTATTTCTGATGATGCTGCTGATGGGACACCATTCTCACTCAGAGTCAATTCAAAAACACAAGGTCACTGATGGATCACTTGGAGGGAAAACAAAGTGCCATAGCAACAGTCTGTCTAGAGCATTGACAGTATACAGTGTATCTACTTGGTTAAAATAACTGGGTTTACTGCAGATTAGGATATAATGAATTTCAGAACTATTGCATTTTAAAACATTTCCCCAGTCTAGTTTTTAAAAGAAATCACTTGAGGTACTTCTGTTTGTATTTTTTTACATTTTTTACGTATTTTGCGAAAGTCAGTAAGGGAAACATTTGATGTGTATCAATATCCCTAAAACATTCCCATAAATGTCGTAGTTGTGTTTGTCTGATGTAATGAGATGCTCACAGCCATAAGTTTATACATTAGAGCACCTCAAGTGCATTTATCTGTTTTTATCTTTAGACAGCAAATACAACGGCCAACATAAACTATAGAACACTAACAACCAAATGCTGACAAGCCAAAGTGTCTAACACATGCTTGACAGTGTCTGTCCTAACTTATTTACACGTTCAGGATGCCTGTTCAATCACTTTAACTTAGCTGGTGGAAACGTACTAATTTGCATTTTATTTTTTCAACTAATTCGCTTTACGTTCTTTGCCTAATGGAAACGTCAGTTTGATTCTTTCAAAGTCAGAATATTGTGAAAAAGGGAACTGTTTTGTCCCCATTTTAGAAATGGTAGTTTGTCATAGTTCAGTGAGATGTTTACAAGATGTTCCGGTGCTTTAATTTGCTGACTGTCAGCAGATGTCAAACATTAACCCTTCAAATCAAAGGCTAAGCATTTGGCCTCATGCAACCTGTTTATCTATTGACGAACTGTTTCCGTATGGTAAGTCATTTTGAACATTGGATTATTTGGTACCGTGGTTTTAAATCAGAAAAAGCCAACTGACAACTTTATAAGGTAACTTACTTTACCTTCCGTGGTCTCCTATCTGATATGATTAGCACTTCTCACTTCTCTAATTATATTATGAAAGCAGTTTAGAACACTTTCCTTTAGACATTTGCTCCTAGAGGCTTTTTAAGAATCCACTAATGGCCACACGCAGCAGTTTTGGTGAGCTAGCTATCACATTTTTTATAAGCTAGTTAGCTATGCAGATGTTTGCGTGTGGACATATTTTTTACCCTTTTTGTTACTACATCATTGTGTGACTTATCAAAAAGTAATTGTAGCTTTGTAGCTAATTGCTTTTGATAAAATTGTTATCAACAAGTCTGAAAAGTACCTAGTTTGTTTTGAACTTTGCTTGCAAGCTAATCAGCTGGCTAAAGCAATGCTAACATGCATCCATAAGTAAGCTATGGGGCTAACTGCTCTTTATTTATTTATTTGCAAATGGTTGCTTATCAGGTGTTTGGACTAAGTTGAGGTTAGCTAACCTGATACTAGTGGTAATGTAACGAACTAAACAGTTGTGAAAAGATTGATTTGTGGAAAAAGATAAGATATCTATGAGATACAATTCAACCCTCTGTTGTTGTCAAAAGGGTTGCTTAAAGACATTCACGGGACAAGTACGGTAAAAACACATGTTGGTGTAACATCATGAAAACACTCCCATTTATTAACATATAGCCTATTCAAGTTATGGTTGTCAGTAAGATCAGTAGTTTAGGATTAAGAAATCCACAAGGAATTCACTCAAACAAATCTTTATCAAATGTTTACACACAAATATTGGACCAAAATGCATGATGATTTCACATCGTACTGTTTATCATTATTTTGGGAATCGATCCTTTGTGTTGGTTATCCAGCTCAGTGGTGTCTCATGGGCTTGCATCATATAAGTCTGGAACTAACACAGAACTTAGTGGCTAAATTGCTAAATCTTTAAGGTAGATTTTGCTCGATTTAATTCAGTCTGGTTTATTTTAAAATGTAGGAAATTACCACATTTTTATGGTTAAGCATGAAATGTCCCTTTTGGATGCAAGACTTGACTGAAAGAATTAGCCTTTGATGCCCTCTACTGGTGATATTAGGGTGAAAATAGTAAACTGAGCCATTGTCGGGTCAACACTTGAGAGTTTTCAGCAGGCTTTGTCGTTACATAACTCGTAATATTTCCTATTTATTTCATCTTTTATCTAACATTCATCGGGAACAACTGCTCCATTGCAGAGTCCTGTGATTTAATACTGTATTTTTGGGTAAAGACCCCTAAAAAAATGAAGGAACATCATGAAGCTAAATGTATGTCGCTGTCCCCTAACGTCTGAGGTGCTCATTATGACGCAATGGTACTGCTATAGTTTTAGTGTGTATGTTGATACTGTGAAAACTAGTATGTTGAACATTTCTTACTCATTAATTCAGATTTAACTGATTACTTTTTTAAGCTAACCACTGCTCTGTTAACCTAAAGCTTTATGGTTAGATTTTCTTAAGTATATCTGGTACAATCACATGTAATTACATTTAATGTGTACATGTACTTTATATTTTATATTAATTTATTTTAATTGTTTCGTATTATTTGTACTTTCTCTTTTTAACACCCTCAGTGTTGATTATTTGGTACCACTTTACAATAAGACTACCCTTATAAAGGGTTTAGGAATAGTTTGTAATTCATTTATTAATTAGGTTGTAAACACTTTATAAATCATTAATAAGCTTTTATAAGACATGAGATAAACAGGGCAACTGTGACCGGTTGCTTGCCAAATAGTGAGCCCATATTTATCTGTACTGCTAAGTCTTATATTGGCTACCTAGCTTACTTCGTCTTCTTCATCAGCCAGCATCCTTGGTATCTGTTGCTCACTGAGTTGATTCTCGCTAAGTAGCCAATATAAGGCTTAGTCATCTTGCTAAATAGTGAGCCTGTGTTGATGTATGAAAACTATGTTAGAACTGGTTTATAAATGGTTCTTAATGATTAATAAAGTGTTTACAACCTAATTATAAACCCTTTATGAATCCTTTATAAGGGTAGTCTTATTGTAAAGTGGTACTGATTATTTTATCATGATAACATTTTTAAAGGTCCCATGTCATGGCAATTTCTACTGATCATAATTCCATTGTTGAGGTATACTAGAATAGATTTACATTGTGCAATTTTCCAAACTCACATTGGTTTTCTCATACAGCATCTCTGTATAGTATGTGTATTCACTCTCTGTCCTAAGCGGCTTGTTGGAGCTCCTGCCCCCCCCTCCCTGTGAGCCCAGTGTGCTCTGATTGGTCAGCTCGCCCACTCTGTTCTGATGAGTCCACCACCGTTACAGCGGAACATCCATTGGTCCATTTGGGTATGGTTACGTCACCATACCCAGGAAGAAAACAATGGAAAAAGATAAATCTCCAACGAGGCGTTCTGGGGCAGCATAGACAGGTCTTTTCTGTGTTAGAGTTTTACTCGCTACAGGGTGTACTTTGAGGGTTTGTGACTCTGCAGACCGTTTACATGCAGAAAAAGCTACATAACACACAAGGGGACGGGTAATAACCAGAAAAGCATGTCATGGGACCTTTAATGAATTCTTCTGCCAGTGTAATTTGATGTTAGGGATGTATTTTAAATCCTTGTGTGTTTTTTTGGTTTGAATCTGCCTGTGCCATGTCCATGTCTAACACTGTGCGGCTGTGTCTTTGCTTTTGGTTCCGCTGTCTTTCAACATTAAAGGTGATACAGTACATTTTTCATGCAACCAAAATGAAAAGGCTGAAGTTTTTTTTTTATGACTTATTATTCAATGTAACAACACAAACTATTTGCCTGATTGCATGCAGCTGAATGAATAAGAAGCCTATTAAGGCTTTATTAAGGCTCAGCTACACAGGAAAAAAACAGATACTTGAGATATTGTATATTATTATTTTTTTTTTTTATTTAAACATTTTACACTCCCTTACCCTTTTTATATTTATATAATATGTTTATTATCTTTTAATTAATTGTTTTACATTTTTTTTTTCATTGATATAAATATACATATATATATATTTCTTTTTGTTCTTCAACAAAGCAAGCGTCACAAAAAACGGGATAAACAAAGTATTGTTATAATATTTGTTTTAATGTATTATTATTATTTAGGTACAATACAACTTGTACCTAAATAATACACTAATGAATCTGATGATCTCCTCTATCCAGTTAGTTACTGCTTAAAAGTATTATAGGGATTGTCTGTTAAGTACAGACACATGCAGACAGGTGGATAACTTTATGTATGAATGTTTCCCCTTCCAAAGTTGAAAAAGCACTTTGCATTATTAATGCACTAATGCAGCAAATAATGACTTTTTCTTCTAGACTTTTGAACGGAACAGCAGGACAAAGTCCAGAATGTGTGGGCTTGTTTTGTACAGCTGTGACTGTCTGCTATTCTCCCACAGCCATGCCACCAGTCTACTGCTCCTGTTATACTTAGAGGCTTATCACAGGTGGAAAACGTGTGCCAACTACAAAAAAGGCAGAGTTCCTTATCGCTAACAGAGTTGAACAAGAACGAAATACTGCAGGTGACCTTTTAAATAACTGCCTCCTGTTTTGATATTAGATCAAATGGTTTGAGTTGTTTCTTATATAAAATTCCCTAATTCCAATTTCTTAAACATGTCCTGGTTTCTTCACTCATCCATGACAGTAAAATGCATTTCTCCAGGAGGTGGGGGCCGCATGCGGCATGCGGCCCCCACCTCCTCTTTTTGCGGCCCTCAGATACATTTATAAACAACGTAATTAATTAAATAAAAATGTACTTGTAGTACTGATACCGTCCACTAGACTCCTAGTTACGTCGCGAGCTGCGTACATGATTTCAAATACCGCGAAATAATCTGTGACGCGTTTGTGTGTATTGTGTTTGTTTCCCGGGGAAACACTCACAAGAAACACCGGCTGTTGTTATGCCTGCTGTGACGTTAAGTTGCCGCTTGTAATTATGCCTTTACAAGCTTAAAGGTTGTATTTATCATCTGAATTTGGTGAAACAAGTTTAATATTCTAAAAACCAAGACTTTGTTTATTTGAAATCAGATGAAAACAAACTGTCACAGACCCTGCCGTGTTATTTAGTGGGAATGCTGACACAGCATTCCAACTATCTGTTATGCTACGCACGAAATTCTTTATTATTCCGCGGGGTTATTTTGCGCCACTTCTCCTCCCGCATTGAACATCGCAGAAACTCCGTTCAAACATCAAAACGTTCAGCTCGGTCGGGAATCGATGGCTATTACTTTTGTCATTCATAACTTTCATAATTCCAGAGATACATCCCATAATTCATCACATTTTTAACATGGAAGTCAATGGAGAAAATCTTCAGACTTCAACAATCTTCATGCAACTTCAACTGCTAACTGCTCCTTCATACTTTCACTCAGAAACCTCATTCCAACTTTAAAATGTTACACATCTTTCTGACATTATTCGTGTAACACAACTTTTAAATCTGATTCTTACTTTTAGAGATATTAAACATTGTTCAGACCCTGGTTAAGAGGCCTTCTTCAGATTTTAGAGTGCGTGATGTCACAGCTAGAGTGGAGGACAGATTTAATTTTGCCTTCATATTTTCTTTTAAACCTGCCATAATTCCCAAACCCTACATTCCTGATACATAATTTTTCATAACAAACGTAGGAAAACATCTCGTAGCTTGAAAAATAAAAAAAGATTAAGCAAAATAATTAAACAAAATGCCTCTTGAGGGCATGAAGTGACAAAAACGTTCAACATGTCTCCATTAAACTCCATTGTAAGTTCAGCCTCACCTTTCCCCACCACAGCAGCCGCACACCTTTTGTTAATCTGCCAAAAAGGCCACATTATTAACCCGAAAGTACACAAAAAGTACACTTCAGATGCTCAAGTTCCTTGACATGCTTCACGCTTTGAAATTTCACCGATATCTGTTACGGTTCTTCAACAAAACGTTCACATGTAAGAGGTTTATGCTTGCTATGAAACACGGTTTTCTCATAACTTCAGTGAAAATGCTCCAAACGGCCCAAAACTTCACAGGTTTGGTAACGATGCAGCCATCAAAACATCTAAGCGTATTATGGGGTGTCATCAAATACCATTGCCATGGCGACAGATCATTCGTCATCAAGTTAGTTCAATAGTTTGCAGTTCAAATATTCTGCTGCTTTTCCAAGCTTTTTTACTTTCTTTTCTTCTCTTATCACACATTCAAGCCCCCAGTGTTCATGTATCATTTCAATCTAAATTCTTCACTTTCTTCTTACACATTACATTTCAGAATAGCAATTCAGCGTCAGCTTTTCAGCATAAAGCATTCCCACTAGCAATTTCTTCAGGAATTGCATTCTCTAGTCTATGATTACTATACGCTTTTCATTAATAATTTCAGCGGGAGGGAGGGGGAGCAGCGCTGAGGAACAGCAGAGTGCGGGTTGACAGGTGTCTGTGTTGACATTCCCCTTATTGTGGAATAAGGGGAATGCAGAGACAGGCTACAAGTGTCTTAGGTTCAAGTTAGACAACTAATGTCTGGGTTAGTGTTCATGACTTCATGTTTATGTCATCTTAATGGTTAATCTCGATGCACACACATTTTCCGTGCTTTCCAATAGTTTAAAATAGTTTTATTCCACTGTTAAATAACCTGTTCAATACAAACATGCTACTTGTAAAAATTAAATAACATTTCTGTGAACTGATATTTGTTTAGTGAGCTTATTAGAGGATGTTCCCTGAAAGATTGTAAAATGTCAATGAATAATAATAATAATAATAATAATAATAAATGGAATTTATAAAGCGCCTTTCACGGGACCCAAAGTCGCTGTACATGGTGGACAGACAAAACAAAACAGACAATGAGGAGCGAACAAAACAAGAACAAAATAAAATAAAATAAAGGAAGCCAGGGGACCAGGAAAGGACTAGGGTCCGAAGGCCACGGTGAACAGGTGTGTTTTTAGTGAGGATTTGAAGATGTCAGACTTAGTATATTTGTTAATAATTACATACAACACATGGAATTTGTGTGTGTGTGTGTTCCAAGTGAATCTGCGGCCCCCTGGTGGCCAGTACATCAATTATGTGGCCCCCACCACCATCAAAGTTGCCCATCCCTGGTCTATGCTGTAAATGTTTTTTCTATTTTCAGTTTTTACACACAACATCTATTGCACGTCTGTCCATCCTGCGAGAGGGATCGTCCTCTGTTGCTCGCCCTGAGGTTTCTAAAGATGTTTCCACAATAATTGTGGGGATTCATGGCTTACGCTGCAAGTATATTAAGACATACGCTGAGTGTGCACACTGTTAAGTCCCCTGAGAAAATGTGTAACTTGTGATAGTGGGTTATATAAATAACGTTTGATTGATTGATAAGAAAGATTCGATTCTATCTCTTTTTGTCATGATTCATCTATATAAAAACCTGTCTGAAAATGAGCTCATCAGATTTTGCCACTTTGTGATGTCACAATGTTTTTATGGGTTGTGCAAACATTAACCAATAACCAACCAACATAACACTTGAATCTCCTCCTAGAGCATCATTGTGTATATTTAAACCAATCACTTCTCAGAGGGGCGTGGCCAGCAGCAGCTCATTAGCATTTAAAGCTACAGGCACAGAATCAGCCCTTTTGGAACAGGGCTGAAACAGAGGGGATTATGGGATGCTACAATGATCTGTTCGGCATTTCAGCCAAACACTTCAGAGACCTGTTTTGTATATATCTGAGACTTATAATATATTGTTGAATAAGAGTATAATAGGGGACCTTTAAGAGCAAATCAATAATCAATATTCTCATAAACAATCATTTATGCCATTCCTCAGTTCTAGTCCTATAAGTGTAGGGAAGCGTTGCCTCACTGGTGGCTCGAAATTAGCTGAAAGTTGTTGAAGATGAGATTCTATGAGTAGTAATTTTCAAAACAGTCACTAACAGCTTAACCACATTATACCTGAACTTGTGCCGAAGACCAGCAGACTGTGGGACTCTGACTCACTGTAAAGTATTTAGTTCATATTCTGTCATCTTGTTCTATGTTTACATATAGTTATCGTTGACTTATTTCTAAATGTAATTGGATATTGTGTCACTAAACGTTTTATTTTTATGTTATTTGTTTTTCATGTTTTTATGTCCTAAGTATATTTTATGTTGCATTGTTTGAGGGACTTAAGGTGTTCATTGCCAACATTACAATGCTTTTCTCCGTTTCACAATTAAAGCTTTGAATCTTTGAATCAGGACATGAAGGAACAGCATTTTAGAAAATGTCCCTAATTAGTACAGCTACAGCTCTGGCTGAGAGTGATAACATAATCCTGAAGAGACACAAAAACAGACATTTACACAATCAGTGTATGTTACAGAGGGAAGCATGGAATCACGTGTTCTTTTGATCTTTTCAGACATTCGGAGTGTGTGGTGGGCTAATTTGAGTTTAAATTACCACTGTAAAACGTACAATTAAGGTATATACATACATACATTCTGAATACTTTCTTTTACATAGATTGCAAATCAATAATATATAAATCTTAACATATTATCTTATAATATATAATGCATTTTTTTAAATGCATGTACCTACCCCTTAAAATGCAGCCCAGTGTTTTATAAATTGGCCATATAATTGTAACAATTCCTGCACATAATAGCTAGCTGGTTGTCTCTTTTATCTTGCTGTCCTTGTTTTATCTAAAGTTCTTCTGCATGTGTGTCCCTGACAGGCATATAGTATACATTCAGAGCTCCTGGAAACATAATTAATTGTGTTCAAACATAGTGAAAGCTGATTCTGTTTCTGATTCACGAGCTGGTGTGGAAGAATTCCGACGGCCGTGAAGGCAGCAGGGATGATGCTGCCTGACATCCATGATATTACCTTGTGAGCAGGTTGCAAGCTAGTAAGCGGTGCAGAGCAGCTAACAGGGGATGTGCCGTTCGTGTTAACACAGGCTCCAAGGTGTTTTTACAGGCTCTAAACAAGCGGGACTCACTCCCAAACTTTGGCGAAATGACGACCCGCTCGGAGAGAGAAAAAGCCCAGAAACTGAACGAGCAGCATCAGGTCATTCTGTCTCAGCTGCTGAGGGAGGAAGAAAACAAGCACTGTGCTGACTGTGAGGCGAAAGGTAAGGAAGACAGTGTTTTCTGTTAACCTCCATGTTAGAAATGTGAACAGGTGAAATTATGTGGCAGCTAACGGCTCAAGCTAGCAATATCATAACGCTTTCCAGATGGGAGTCACTTATGAGGAGCTATGCTTTCCTCTTAGCCTATTGTTTAATACCCAGAATGTGTCATTTCGATTAAACATGTTTATTTTATTTTTATTTTCAATATATTTATGTTGTACAATGCAAACAAATGCATTGCCGTTCAGTTAGGGAATCAAAATGTATACTATTGAGCGACATTTGTGCACGCAATCTCAACAACCAACAACTTCCGTTTAACAATTTCAAAATAAAATACCCATTGCTGTTGATTGATTTGATCTGATAGTTAGGAGAACAAACAATATTCTTAGGGCAATCAGTCATTTAATACATGAGCTATTACCGGATGTTATCTGAATAATTATGTCATACAATTCAGATGGAAGGTTAACACCTTGTTTGTCCCTTTTGTTGTTTGTCAAATTATTATTATTTACATAATATATGCTAAACAATGTTGGGATTTGGATTGACCAGTAAGCATACTTTGTTTATCTTTTTATTAATCACCATGTTTGCATTTATGTGGTTTTCAAAAATGTTGACTAAACAATTCATTCTTATTTTGAAATCAGATGGCCTCTACTTCCGTTTTTGTGTTTGTAGGGCTGCGGCTAACTTGACGAATGTGTTGCTGACTGTATCGATGTCATGTCCTTGACTGTTTTATTTATGAGCGGAAAACGTGCGTGTGTTGCGTTGGCAACATTAAATTAAAGGTGTCGTTTACTCGTTGAATCTCTCTTTGAGAAGCAGAAGCCAACATGAGATGCTGTAGGTGTGTTGCAGCTGCAGCCAACACCTTTCTGCATCTAACATTCCCTCCTTGGCGTATGCACCCCAAAACCCCATTACAAAAATCTGAAAGTTTATGATTCTAACGCACATATTCATAACATACATATTCCTCAAAGAGTGTGCTTTAATCTTAAGGAACCACGTTCAATTCAGCATACATCTAATACATTACATATCAATTTACATTTTAGAATTTGCAAGCCATAATTTGAGAATTCCCAAATATCAGCAGCATCAATTTAAAAATAACATATTATAGTCAATACATTTTCCACAATTGATCTTGCAAATTGCCACAGGATCGTCCTGTTACTTAAACCCAAATGTTTGCCGGCAATGGAAGCAGTAAATTCCCAGACTTTTGGATGGGGTTTGAACGGCTCATATGGGGGCTACCTATGAGTGGGATTATAAACCTCTTGCGTCATCACAATGCCTGTGATGCCCTGTGACGCACTGTGACGTGTAATCTGTAGTAGCACCCTTCCCTCAGACGGTGGATTACTTTGATCATGATTTGCTTCTGTCTTCTGCTGAAGATGCGTTTTTTGTTCATTTATTATCTGTTATTAATTTCCCCCTCATCCTTCATTTTCATCCCATAGCATTTCTACATGCTAGGCTGGTGATGTAGCTACCAACATTTAGTTCTCTCCAGAAATACCAAAATGTATATTCAAAAAACTATTTAATGGAGTTTTCTGATGGAGAAAAAAACAAATGTATTGTCCACAGTTTGCGTTATATTCACTGGACTTCTTTCTGCGGGTTGATATGACTGCACATAGTCCCTTGATCCTCCTTAGCAACAGTGTGTTCTCCTTAGCAGCTTTATGTTAGTGAAAATAAACAACCTCTGGAATGAATTGAGTATTCAACTAAGATGTATAATGATGACAAAAGATACCTGTTCAAAGTCCAGCTTTTTACTGAACTCAATATTTCCTCGCACAGTCTTCCTCAGCATATTGACTTTGCTCAGTTCTCATAGATATTGTTAGTTGAACTTCATGACCTTGGAAACTGCCAGCATGCCATGAGATGTGTTTGGAATCAGCGAGACAAGTTAATTGACATCATCGGCAGGTGGACTTTAAGATTATCATCATTCAAATATTGTGTCCAAGGTGTAGAAAGTCACATTAGCGTAATGCTAATAAAGAAATGGATTCACAAGAAATATGTAGGTATTTTCTATACGTTGTGATTTTAGTTTTATATTGGTTGTTGTCGTGCCAATTAGGGCTGTGCGATTATGGCAAAAATCATAATCACGATTATTTGGGTCAATAATTGATATCACGATTATTAAATACGATTATTCATTGACTTTGAAAACATCCATTTATTGAACTTTAAAACAAATACAAATAATAATTGGAACAGTATCTTATAACTGTTGATTACCCTGAACGTATAATTCAACTGAAAAACTTTAAATAAATAATATGAAAATAATAAATACCAATAAACAAGATCAACAAATATTTTGGAGCGCACTTCCACAAGCTACTAATAATATATAAATATGATAAATACAAATTAATTAGATCAAATATGTTGCAGTGCACTGTCACAACCTAGCAAAGCAAAATAATTGTTTTATTCGATAATGTTGTTTTCGTAATTGTGGCAGGCCAAAATCGTAATTGCGATTTAAAATACGATTAATTGCACAGCCTTAGTGCCAATACATTCCCAAAGTCCTTGTTCACTCCCTCTTTCCTTTTATACTGTATATTACATTACTTTGCATGGAGCAATGGATTATCCGAATACTATATTTATCATGACGGAATTTCAGTTTTGTAACAGTTGCTCCAATTTACAATAACAAAAAATATAGAATAAAAATATCTTTATAAACATAGGGAGTTAAAGTAAAAATGTGCCAATACAATATACACAGTGGTGATTAGTATTAATAAAAAATGTGCCTGATTTGCACCGTTTAAAAGGGTTTGGTTAATAATGAAAGCCTGTATATAAAAAGTGATATCAGTTGATAAGTGTTCTCTGCAGTGGTCAGTGAATGCATCGTGCAGCCTGAGGCAGGTTTACTTATGTTACTCACATAGCAGCAGCAGCAGCAGCATCCAGCCATGCCTGATGAGTCATATTCAATATGTCACAGCTATTTTTATCCAAACAATAATTGATGTTGTGAAGAAGCCTCAGGAGTTAAAATGAGTTAACGGGTGAAGTTAGGCATGAGGGAGCTGCCCAGCCCTTTAGCAGAGCTTTACAAACACAGCAGGCAGTGATAGACCTAATTGATTTGAAAACAAGCTTTTGTTCAACGGCTGATTTAGTGCTCAGACTGCAGAGCTTTGCATTGATTGATCAGTTTGTTTAAGGGTTGTGCTATACCCTGTCTGTCCACTGAGTCTGGGGGTGTTCCTCAGCTGTGACCACTGCAGTGCTGACTCACCTGAGACACTCTGCTGTAATTACACCCTCACTGTCTACACACTGCCCATCTCCAGTGTGTGTGTGTGAGTGTGTGTGTGTGTGTGTGTCCATCCACTACTTAGAATCCAGACCAAAATGTTGGTTTCAGACCCTTTACTCCAGTACAAGTACTAATATATTAATATAATAATAATCCATTACAAGAAAAATGGGCTCTATATTTGTTATATTATTATACATTTGACATTATCATATAATTGATAGTGTTTCATCATTTAATACGAAAGTAGTAATAGTTCTGTACCTCCAACAGTTATTCCACTGATTTAATCTTTAAAGATGCATTTGATAAAAGTTTATCACATGTAATTTTTATTGTAAAATTAGATCAGATAAGATTAGATAAAATATACTTTATTCTTTCCAAATGTGAAAATTGTTTTGTCACAGCAGCAGAAAGTTAACATGTTTCACACATTAAAAGTTAAAATATAATAAATAAGTTAGAAATAAAATAAAAGATAAACATAAACAGTAAACAACATGTATATCAATAGAGTATAATAATGCACAAAATACTGAATACATTAAATGTTGCAAAATTGGGTTAGAGTAGAAGAAACATCTGCATAAAATAGAAAATACTCAGGTAGAAGAATTCAATATTGTACCTGCACACACACACACACACACACACACACACACACACACACACACACACACGCTGTTAGGATTTGTTGGGGGGTGGGGGTGCTGTGAGCTGGCACATGCCCCCTCTGTGCTGCTTCAGCAGATCTTGCCGCTGCAGGCCCTCTGACGGCTCGTCCTTGGTCCGCTCTGCTGTCACACACACAGGAACACTGCCACCGGCCTTCACATGCTAATGTGGAGCGAGCAGCTTGATACACACCTGTAGGGACACACTTTAGAGGCGTGAAGGACGAGTTAGCCTGGCACTGTCCAGGGAAGAGACGTGCATCTGTGAGAGGCTGTGATAGAGGCTGGAAGGCTCAAAGGGCTTCATGCTGCAACATTATTAAACATTACTGCTAGTTAAGATCATATGGCACATCTGGAGATTTCTCTAGAGAGATCATCCAAGTGTTTTCTTACCCAGGTGTGCTGAATGATGAATCCAACTTTATCATAAATTACAGGGACATGGCAGATGTTTTATTATTGGCAAAGGTAACACCAGTATAACGCTATATAAGAGCAGAGTCGTGCAGATGCTCTGGCACATGAGCAAGGATAGAGTGATGATGTATTTTTTTTGGCCGACCCAGAAGTTAGCATCCCGAGGGTTTCCTTGAAAAAAAGCAATGAGATTTTTTTCCGTTCGATTTCAGAGAATTGCAGAAAATAACATCTGCTGCAAACATACTTTTATCAAACTCACTCGTTTTGTTCAGCAGGATAATCTCCACATATTAAAATCACGTTTATATTAGACGAATAGTAAATGAAAAGACAATACAGTAAGTAAGAGGCTAACAGTAGGCTATAAACAAACTAAAAGCGGCTAATGTTTATCGTCATGACGTTGAGTAGTCTCATTTAGTCAATTGTTGGCAACCACCGTTTTTAATACGCATACAGGTAGCAGCATTTACTGAAACACCGTGCTGAGTACAGTTTTTAAGAATATACTAATCTAGTGTATTCTATCAATATCTATATTATAACAATATTTCCAAATGTTG